CTAAATATGAAAGTTTGGCTGGTTTTAACTGGATATGGCTTAATCCATTTTGGGTCTCATTTCACCAGTCTATTAAAAGTTTAATACAGAATATCTTTTTCTAGAGCAACTCTTCCAGAGGATTCTACCATTCAATTTTTTTTTCCACTGTTGCTTCAAATGCATGGTTATGTTGAAATAAAGAAAAAAAAAAGCATCCATGGTTATGTTGAAATTCTATGCTCTTCCACACCATTGAGGATATCTCTACTAACTTATTAGCTATTTTAGTTTTCTAGTGATTCACTATGTTTGGAGCCCCTTCTAGTTATCTAACAAATTCATATTTCAGAAAACCTTGGTGTAACATGGAAAAATAAATGTGAACAATGTGAAGTAATGCAATTATTTAAGTGCACAGATATGTGATAAACTTATGGACTTTATATTACAAACTTTATCATGAGAAATATCATCTACCTATTTCATAAGTGAATAGTGTGTTCAATTTGAGTATATTTTTTATATTTTCATTTTTTATCACACAGGTGTATAGAACACAGAACTATTTGTCCATCCAAAAGTTCTTTTTGTTTCAGAATTCTGTTGAGTATGTTGAAAATGCTATGAGAGTACCAGAGCTTCTCAAAAGTGCTCGATGAGAATGATGCTTTGTAATAGGCATCTTCAGTCAGTTTCTTAACTTAATGTCATGTGAAGCTATTGCTGTTATATACCTGTTCAACAGTTTGATGAGCAGAAAGATCAGGTTGCAGTAGAGCAAATTCTGAGGGTTGTCTTCCTGGACCCAGATCACCCCTGCCCTGTAAGCCAATTGCACACACAGTAATTGTTCTTATCATGGACTAGTAGATGACTTGTGGTGTAAATTGCAATATACTTTTTTGAAGCAAATGGAGAAGCTGAAGAGGCAACTGGCTGAGGCTGAGGCCGCGCTGGAGGCACGCAAGAAGCTCCCTGAAGACACAGGTCCTCGGATTGTTGGAGAAGGACTGGTTATTGATGAATGGGTAATACTCTTTTTCCTTGCTATTTGGCTTCTATGCATTTTCTTCTTTCGAATGAGCATTTTTTCCAGTTCCCTTCCTTGTTTATTTTCAGAAAGAAAGAAGAGAACGATATCTTGCTCAGCAGCAGCAGGTGGAAGGGGTTGATTCAGTTTGAAGTATGATTCCTTTTGTCAATGTAGCTCTTGTATCTTCTTTTGCTTGTGTTGTATTGTATGATCTGTTTTGTTTAAGAGAAAGAACATGTCATTTGTCCCCCTATAATGTTTAAGACTGAGGAGGGTGAAATAATGGAGTTCACATATCATGATCTCTTTTGGATTTGGAAATATTGTACTTGAATGAGGATATCATGCCGTTGTAAATAATGGTATTATTAATCTTGTCAACAAATAAAAGATAAGTTGAATGGCAAGGTCCAAGAATTTTCTCGTCTTTGTTCCTTTAGGTTCTCAAATATGACCAGTGACTTGAGGTTTATGTTTGGCACCTTTTTATGTGAATCTTGTCTGCACAATTTACTGCCAAACAAGGTTATTAACTCATGTTTCACCTTTATGTACCTTATCTTGTAGGTGTTGGCCAAAGAAATTAGTCTGACAACTTATCAGTGGGAGCTATTCTGGCTGCTATATCAGATTAGTAGAATTGTAATTGCTGAATGATTGGCTAACATCATGAACGGGAGCTATTCTGGCTGCTGTATCAGATTAGCTGAATTGTAATTGCTGAATTATAGGCTAACATCATGAACCAAGGATACAAAACCATTGTAGGGAAACCATTGTTCTTTTGGCACACAACAAATTATCTTCATGCCGTGAGAGTTGGAATAAGTTCCTCCTCAAAAGAACAGTAAGATCCATTGAATTATTTATCGAAAATGGATTGCATCTTGAATCCCTGAACTATTATTCTAACTCTCTAGATGGGCATCTTCATTGCACCTGTGTGAAGATGTGATTTAAAGAGGATAAACATCAATTGCATAGTTTTGAGTAGGAACTAACCTAGTGTTCCTCACCCATGTTAGTGCCCTGTAAATTAATCACATGATGACATATGTGACTTGATACATAGTCTTTTTACTTATTATTATTATTATTATTTGATATTTTATCACTTTATATTGTTTGTTATTTTAATATATTGTGATGGTCATGGATTTGTGCAATGAGAATCAATGAGATCACGATAATGAGACCGATTCGTCTTTAAACACAGATACTAAATAATCCCGGTCATAAGTTACTCGAGAAGGACATCGAGATAACCGGACAGATTAGTATGCTATATATTTGTCCATATGATAAATGTAGTTGGTATCATAGTTGCTCATGTGGGGACATTAGGGATACAATTCATTGGAGAATGAGTTCATTGATTGATTCGCTTATGGAATGTTGGATGGTTGATAATACCTCATTGTCAGACAGTGATTCCGTAGTTCCAGTGATGTATCTGGTCCTTAGACTTGAGACACCAAGAATGTCCTATATGAGTACACCACTCTTTAATACCAGACTTATATATTTGGAAGTTCCAAATATAGTATAATCAGTTATCATGAGTGACAACTAACCTTACGAGGGTTATTGAGTGTCGATAGAGGATCATCCGCTCTCGGTGTCATGAGAGGAATATCTTATGTGTTCTTGCTTAGGCAAATCCCTAGCCAAGGTTATTCGGATTGAGAGAGAAAGAGTTCTTCGGGAGAATCCGATTTGAGGGAGATTTAAATAGAAACTGTATGAGTCTAACAATACCATATCTAGTATACGATATTTGAGATATTAGATATATGAGGGACTATAGGTATAGAGTAACTAAGAACAGATAGGTCAAATGGATTGGATTCCTTTGTATTGTCTAGGGATTACGACGTAGTGGCATAGTACGTTCGCAGTCGATGAGTCGAGTGAATTATTATGGAGATAATTCATTGAGCTAGAAGGAGTTCTGATAAGTATGACTCACGATCAGCTCGATATTGGAACTAGAGGGTCACACACATATGGTAGGCGTTGTGATGAGTAGAGGTTCTGATATGAGATATCCGTCGGAGCTCCTATCTTATTGAATATCTAATAAGCCCTTGAATTATTGGATCCTATGGATGAAATTTAATAAGAGCCAATGAGAGATTATTGGATAGAGATCCACTAATCTAAGAGGCTTGGATAGTTAAATGGAGATCCAATACCCAATAGGGTAGGATCCATTAGGGTCAAGTTGACAATGAACTTCTATAAATAGGAAGGAATCAATGGTTTATAGGCTAGAGCCTTTTTGGGTTGCCTCTCCTATTCTCCTCCCCTCTCCTTCTTAGATAGTAAGCTTGGTGTTTTGAGGAGCATCATCGCAACCTTACTGTGTGGATCATCGCTAGAGATGAGGACGCTTGACCTCCTTCACCCTCTCTTAGAGATCTGTTGGGATTAAGAGATATACGATCTCCTTAGGTAATACAATCTTTTATATATGTAATTTTAAGTTTCGTGGTTTTTGCGTACCAATCTTCATACGACGACGAACACATCTTTTGAGAAATTAAGGATTTTATTTTTTATGTTCTTCCGCTGTGCATGTGATGTCGCTGCCTAGATTTCCCTACAATGGTATCAGAGCCAAGTTGTTTGTGCGATAAATTGGTTTTGAACTACGTGTATTGTGTTTTAGGAAGACTTTTGTCGTCAAAATTGTTGACGTAAAAGGTGAGAGAGGGCAGCAACTGTTGCTGCCCTTGTAGGTTGGCCAATGGCTGCTTGCAGCCTTTGGTCGAGGCCTGGCCACTTGCGTATAGGTGGTCAGTGGGCAGCAACCGGCCACTTGCGGCCAACAGCCTACAGCCCGCAGGTAGGCAACCGCACAGGAGACTTGCCTACAAGGGCAGGCAACCGCACGAGCGCCTGCCTGTAACGGCGGGCAGCACTCGAAGCGCCGTGTGGCAGCTGCGCTTGTATGTCACGGACTTAGCTGGTTTTGCCTAAGTCGTGCGGCACCCTTGCGTGTCCGTCTGCAAAGGTCAGCCTCCCCGAAGCCTCCCATTGTCCCTTAGGACCAACAAAAGAGAGAACGGGCTACAGAGAACACCTCAATCAGGATCCATAAGCAAACATCTCCGAAAAACACTTCATAGACAATGCAAATTACAAACAGACTTTACAAGCTCTGAATAGTGGCACAACAAAGGGTAAAATGGTCCATTACAGATCAAAAATCTCTCGCACGTGTCCACATGACACAACCTTTATTTACAAGCCTAAAGAGGCCACCAACCCAACTAAAATGGGACTATTAAGCCTTCGGTCGCCCCTTTACATGCTGTACAAGGCATGAACATGCCAAAAGACACGGACATACATAAGCATTACATCAAACACCTTATTTAGAAGTTTGTCCGTGACATTCTCCCCCACTTATTCCTTCGACGTCCTCGTTGAAGCCTTTGTCGACACTGCAACTCCTCGCCTTTGCTGAGTCTTCAATCTTCTGCTCCAACTGCAATGCGCCTCTTGGCTCCTTGCTGCTCTCCGCTGCTGTTTTTGAGTAGTCGAACCTTTGATCTACCATGCTGCTTCAACTCACCAATGACTCTGACTCTGGTGTGGGGTTGGCTGAGTTGTGTTGATCCTTGTTGATTCTTGCGGATCCCCCAGATGAAGGAAAAGACCATCCTTACTGCGCCAGTCTCTCAAAAATTCCTCATGCTGCTTGAACTGGGTGGATGCTTGTTGGAGCTTTAACGAGCATCGCATCGCAACCTTCTGAAGTTTTGGGTCCTTCCTCCACAAAATCTGCTCATTGACTCTTCTTTCAGTTAGTTGTCACATCCAAGTAGGTTCGCATCACTTCCACTTTCGATTGGCATTTCGTTAGGAAATGAAGCGGACAATCTACTCTCAGTAGCACTGATCACCGTTGGTGAGGATTTGACAGTTAGCTACTGTGATTCACCTTCTCAATGCCATCGAACTTCTGGAATGCGGGAAGTTTTCACCCCAACTTGGAGTAATTCTCTGATAGATGAGGTCGCCTCTGGGATTGTACCGTCTTCTCCATCAACCCTGCCGCCTACTCCACTGAGTAGCAAAGGTACAGCACCGCGTACTGCCTGCTTCGTTCCTTGTGTTGGGAAATCATTGGGGGGCGACATCATATGCGCAGCGGAAGAACAAGAAAACAAAAATCCCCAATTCCCAAAAAGATGTTCGTCGTCGTGCGAAGATTGGTGCGCAAAAATCCGCAAAACACAAAACTGCGTATAGAGATTGTGTTACCTAGGGAGATCGTATATCCCTGTTTCCTTGTAGATCCTTAGGAGAGGGTGATGGAGGTCAAGCGTCCTCCTCTCTAGCGGTGATCCACACAGCAGGGTTGCGACGACGCTCCTCAAAACTCCAGGGCTACTCTGAGGTGGAGAGGGAGAGGAGAATAGGAAAGGCAAGCAAAGACTCTCGCCTATGAGGCTGTGAATCCCTCCTATTTATAGAGATCCCGTGTCAAACCCTAATGGGTCCTTCCTTAGTGGGTATTGGATCTGCATCCAATAAGACAAGGGCTCCGTCGGATATCTCATATCCAAACCTCTACTCATCGCAATGCCTACCATATGTGTGTGACCCTCTAGGCCCAATATCGAGCTGGCCGTGAGTCATACCTGTTAGAACTCCTTCTAACTGAGTGAATTATTATCTCTGTAATAATTCACTCGACTCATCGACTACGGACGTACTAGGCCACTACGCCGTAGTCCCCAGACGATACAAGGGAATCCAATCCATTGGACCTGTCTGTCCTCAGTTACCATGTACCTATAGTCCCTCATCCATCTAATATCCCAGAGACCGTATATCGAGCATGGTGTTGTCAGACCCATACGGTTTCTACTCGAGTCTCGCTCTAATCGGATTCTCCCGGAGAACTCTTACTCTCTCAACCCGAATGA